ACTGCGACGCTACGGAGAGCGTCTCAGCGCACTCGTCCGATCGCCCTACGCTCCTCCTCCTCCTCCTCCTCCTCCTCCGTCGTTGTGCTGGGCATGAAGCTTCTCAGGTGGATCCCGGAGCATGCAGCACAGGAGGTCAGCTGGTCCTTCCCAGTGCTCCACCTGACTTCTACTAGATCTGTCCGTATGCCCGCGGTCATTTCCTTCGTGATGAATTTATGGACTTCATTCAGGAAGGACCGGTGATCGGTGAGTAGCTTTCCTCTCCCACCACCTCCCTCATCCTCCTCCTTCCACCCCCCCACCCCCACTCATCTCCTTCTGTCTCCTAGTTCTCCTCCTCATCATCCCAGCGGTTTCTTCGTCTCGACGTCCTCCTCATGTCTTGTCTTCTCCTCCCCCTCCTCCTGATCGCTTTCCAGCCTTGGCGGTGCAGCGTATCGATGGCTTCAATCATTATCGTCGGCTGATCGGGAGTGATGAGACGAAGAGCAAAGGGAGAGACGAGGTGACAGCAAGAGAAATTTTCTTCTCCTTCCTCACTTTTACCGCAGAGGGAGCCAAGCTTGCGCGATCGGTCGATCCCCGTCTGACCTCTTGAATGTCACGTCTGACCCGCCGCCCTCAGTTTTGCCGTTGACGGCGTCAGGTGTGCCTTGTTGGCATCCCAGGACATGAAGCACGTGAGGGGCGATGGGAGGAGCGTGACCAGCTTGTGATGCTTCTGCTGCAGACTCTCCGTCAGCTGTCTTGTCTCTTCCTGGACGGCGACCTCAACTGGCCCGATGGCGTCCATGGCAAAGATTCGCTCCTGCCCCCCCCGGCATCTCTCGTTTGTCTTCCACGTGTTGCTCATTGAGATGCGCGCAGAGCTGCGACAACGTGCTGGACAGTTTGAAGGATCTTTCAAACGTCTCGAGCAAGATCCTCACACTAGCGATTATCAAGCCGGAGGCTACCATGCAGCTACACAAGATCCTCAAGGTTGTGATGATGTCATGAGGAATGCGATGGTGTTATGGGAGATGAGATGATGAAGTGAGGTGCTGTGTTGATGTTGATCAGCATCTCGAGTTTCATTCCTCCCTTTCTTACTCACACATCCCGAGATCTGATCATAATCATGTTTCATTTGCTTTCACCTGCACGGTTGTTCTTCTATTTTGCTCATCTCACATGTTGCCGTAGTACATGCGCAAGGCAGAGCTCAGCGTCATCGGCTTAAAGAAGTTGAGCATGAGTCAAGAACAAACACACTGTATCGCAAGGCACGATGGTGACAGCCTTCCATTCTTCTGCTCCTCGTAGCTCGTTGGCTCTCTCATCCCCCCTGTCAGGTGAAAATCATTCCAACAGCATGCTCCTTGGACAATCTTGTATCGCTCTCGCGCTGGAGCGAACGAACGGTCTCTTTCTGTGCTCCTCCTCAACCTCTTTCTCTTTCCTCCTCCTCTTCCTCCTCCTCTTCCTCCTGTTTCCTCCTCTTCCTCCTGTTTCCTCCTCGTCCTGTCTGCACTCCTTTTTCTCCACCCACCTATGCTTCCCTGCTCGTGACGCTCCAGCAGCGGTTGCTGTCCTCCTCAAATTGTGCGGTGATGAAGACCCCTCGCTTGCTCGGAGAAGGGACGAGTTTGCTCTCAGGTAAGAGAGGAGAGGAGAGGAGAGGAGAGGAGAGGAGAGGAGAGGAGAGGAGAGGAGAGGAGAGGAGAGGAGGGGTAGGGTGAGGAGTTAGGAGAGGAGAGGGTAGGAGAGAGAGGGAAGGAGAGAGGCACATTTTGCAATTTTATTGAGAGGAGAAAAGCGAGGGATTGAAAGCTGGAGAAAGTAGAGAGCAAGAGGAAGAAGGAGAACGGAGAGGAGGATGTATCAAGGAGGAGCGAGATTCTCAAACTTTCCTCGTCTTATCAGGGCTATGTTTGGACTCTCTGCTACAGCAAACGGCCTCCATGCCTCGCGTTCCTTCCTGTCTGCGCAGGAGGAGATCAGATCGATCTTTCCTGAGGTAGCCTCCTTGTTCGGCTCTATGATCTCCTCCTCCTCCTCCTCCTCCTCCTCCTCCTGTCCTTGACTCTCCCTTCTCCCTCACCAGTTTTTCAGTTGCATGTCGATCATCCCAGCAAGAACGACGAAGTCTGTGGAGCTCACAGACGACGTGTCGTGCACAAGGTGAAGGACGCGAGGAGGAGGAGGAGGAGGAAGAGGAGGAGGGGGAGGAGGACGAGGAGGAGGAGGAGGAGGTGGTGGTGGTGAAGGGCCTGCGGGCAGGGCGATCAGCGTACGTTGAAGGAAATGCTCTTCCTGTGCTTCTGCGAGGACGTGATCGCTGGTAAGTGCGAGGCGCTGGAGGAGGGAGGGAGGGGTTGGGGAGGGAGGAGATGACGGGAGGGCAGACGACGACTACATCGCGATCCTGGAGGACCTCGTCCTCGAGGACTTCAAGGTCTGCAACCTCCGCCTCACCACTCTCTCCACCAAGCAGAGCATCGAGCTTGCCGGTGCTCTTAGCCACAGGTACTTCCTCCCGCCCCCGGCTACACGCACGCGCACACTCCTCGATAGAAGCTGATTGGCTGCGGCAGGGGAGCCGACGAATCTTTTCGCCGCGGTCGCTGCCTCCTCCTCGCTCTTGAGAGGGATAACGCCCTCTCCCGCTTCCAGGTGCTGCCCCCCCTCCCCTTCCTCCCGCTCTTACAAGGCCGCCTTCCAGATGGCACAGAACAAGAAGCTCGGAGGGCAGGGCAGGCTGGCGGATCTTGTGGCTCGACATGCCAAGGAGGAGAGTAGCTGACTTCGTGCTGGAGGCGCTGGGACTGACTCTACTGAGCAGCTTGTGAGCAGTGAGAGTCATCCAAAGGCGCTGACGGCCATCTCCTACTGCTTTGATGTCCTTCACGACAGCAGCTTCGAGATCCGTCCGGCCTGAACCAAACCGACACCTCGTAGCCTCCCGGCTCCCTTCCCTTCCCCCAACTCATCTCCTCCCTGCACAATTCCCTCGTCTCTGCCTTCTCTCGCTGCCCTCTCTCTCTCTCTCTCTCTCTCTCTCTCTCTCTCTCTCTCTCTCTCTCTCTCTCTATCCCCGTCCTGCTCTCTGTTCTAGACAACGAATGGTGTAGATGTTTCAATCTCAACTTGCAGACTTCACATGATATTGCAGTCCGTCCCTGTAACAGCTTCACACAACATCCCTCCTCCTCTTCTCCAACCTGCCAGCCCACGGGGAAGCCCGTTCTCGTCCAACTCCAGATCTCCTCCTATCTCCTGCGACAGGGTCAGAGGAGTACAAGGAAGCAAGCAAGACAGACTTTAACAATTTCCGAAGGGGGCTGACCGCATCTCTGCATCTTCTGCATCAACTCAACAATTTTCTCTACATTCTCCGGCTCAGCGTCATAACATCGACAGATCTCCTGTATAATCCCAAACTGCTCCGAATATTTCTCGTACTCCTGCAGGCCCAGGGTGAACAACTCCCGAGGAGCTTCGCAAGGGACCTCGGTAGGAATGACGCCCTTGTTCTTGGCTAGCCAATCAGGGTACTTCGCTGCGATCTCCTGCAATGGCTCGTACAAGAATTCCTTGGAGAGAAGCTGCTGCATCATCCCTTCCATCACCCCCTTCCCCTCACACGTCAAGATCCTCACACATCACTGTCAAGTCACAGCTACCTGCATGTTCGGATCGTTGTCAAACCCTTGCAGTTGCTCAGTGAACTTCTGCAAAATTTCTTGCTCGTTCATCTCAGCCGAGCCCGAACTCCCTGATTTCAGAAGCTCCACCGTCTCTTTCACCGCGCTCGACAGCGCGTCCTCAGCCAAATCTTCGCCTTGCTGAAAGTTTTGAGTTGTACACTTTCCCTCCTCACACGCCCGTTGCAGGAGCCCTAGCTGCTTGTCCGCCATTCCCTTGCGGACCAATCAACCTTCATGCACAACAAGACCTTGAGGTGCTGACCTGGAACTCTTTCAAGAAGTCTTCCTCCAACCTCACGTCTGAGAGGAATATGCTCATCAGAGCTGTGAATTTCCCACAAACTTCTGCTCTAATAGCGTGCTTGTACTCTTCCGATCCATGCAATGGGGGCTGCTTGCTAGCCTCCTGCGCCGATCCATGATTCTTGCTCTCCTGCCGTCAACGTCTCAGATGGTTCAGTGCTCCAAGAGCTTGTACTGACGTTGCTCTCGTCCGTGAACTCCGAAAGAGTAGAGTCAAGAAGGTCTTCAAGCGCCTTCTCGTCCATTTTTTTTGCTCGATGCCTGTCCTTGATTCCGTCAGAGCTGCTCGTTTTAGTCATCCTTCTTTCACTCTGCTTTCATTATCTGCCTTCAAAAACCATTCCTTGTTACTTCTAGACATTCCAGTCTTCTTCCTCCCACTCCATCCCTCTCAACTCCTACACCTGTTCTCTCCTCTTCCCTCTGCTATCTACCTTATCCTCTCTGTCCTCCTTCTCCTCGACCCCAACTCTGCTCCCACTCACTCTCATGCTCTCTTCACCCACATCTCCATGCTCCCTTCCGTCTCTGCCATTCTTCTACTACATCTTCTACTACTACTCTCTTCCTCTACCCCCTGCGGCCTCTTCGCCATTCCCGACCAAACACGTCTTTTACTCATTACCAGCACGAGAAGTGCTATTATAAACAAGTCTGCCTCAGATCTGAATATGGAAAATTCTAAGGCAGCAAAAAACACTGTGACACTCAACATGATGGCATCCGGCGGAGCCTGAGCCCGGCCGGCCCGGCCGCCCGGCCGCCGGGGACTCGGACTGGCACCGGCGTGTGCCGACCCTGTACAGACCCGGCCCCCCCCCGGTGCTACTAGGCTAAGCAGCCTAGCCCGGCTGAGGCACAGGCTGGCCCGGCGACGCCCGGCCGCCGGGGGCCCGCCGCCGGGGGCCCGCCGCGGCGGCTGGCGGGCGGCGCGCCCGGCCGGCTGCTGAGCCGCGGGGCCCGGACTCGGGAGTCAAAAGCGGAGGCTCTCACGGCGGCCCACCCGGGGCCCCCGGCGGACCGTACTGACTCGGCGGCCCGGTCCGAGTCGGAGCCTGACTCGGGGCCGGCGGCCGGCGGCGGGGCTCAGCGGCCGCGGCCCCGCCGGGCTCCGCGCCCGGTGGCAGCGTGTGGCCTGTGAAAAGACGGTTTGAGGGCCAGCCTGGTGTGGCACTGACACTGGACACTGGACAACTGAAGCCTCCGGCTTCGGAAGTTCTGCGGTCCGACCGGGCCCACTGCGGCGGCGCGCGGCCGCCACTGCCGGAGTCCGACCGTACTGATCCGACCGTGAGTGGCAGTGTCCCGGCCCGCCGCCTGGCGGCCCGTGACTCAGTCCGAGTGATCGGACGGTGGCAGACAGTCAGTGATCAGATCAGACCGTGGCAATTCCTTGTTCTGTACTCAAAGTTATTCAAAAATCAGTCGGCACACGGTACGAGGGCAATCAGGAGTGTCTCCGACAAAGCCTGATCGGCAAGCTCGTCCCTACACTTTCGTGTGTTGAAAGTTTTTTGCCCTCACAACAGGCTGTAACTTGTATGAATGGCCTTTCTGAGATTTATCCTTCATATTCTTCTTTCTTGCAAACTTAAGAGCAACCACACCCCAAAGATCCCGACAATCCAGGGTTTTCATGCCTGAGATCATGCCTCTTCATACGATCAACCTTTACATCTCTGCAAGAAGCTCATCTGCAAAAGATCTTGACTGCGACCTACTCCCAGAAGATAGTTGATTCCACCAATCCGTTCACCTTTGAAACATTCAAGCTAATGCTCGCAAAATTCGGTCTAAGTTGTCCAGCATAAGCTGCTGCTGCTCCAGGATCTCGTCCTGATAATTTGTCAGCCGTCTCAGCAGCCCCAAAATCTCTGCTTCTGGCCGCCCCGTCCTCCGCTGGGACAGAAGCATGTTTACCAGCGACTTTTGTCCCTCCCGTGTGCATGCTTTCCGTAGACGCTTCCGGGACTCTCCTTGGGCCTCCTTCTTCTGATCTGCATCCCTTCGGCTTCCTCTACGCTTCCCTCCTTCCGACGAGGTGGAGGGGCAGCCGTTGCTCGATTCTGAGTCTGACCAAGGATAAGTTACGGTCTTGTTTCTCTTGGCCGTGCAACGATGGCTTCGCTCCCTGCAACCCGCCGAAGACGAGCACGACGACCTCGAGGACTGAGGCTCCAAGCCCGAGCCCGGGCTGCTCGAGCCCTCGGGCGGTGAGTCGCCGGCTTCAAGTCGGCGCGTGCAGGAGAATGTGCCGCTGCTCGTCTCCACGAACCCCTTGCTCGAGCCTCTTGCGCTCGTCGCGGAGCTCCGCGAGCCTGTCGCTTGCTTGCTGCCGTCCTCGCTCCCTCTGCCTTGCAGTCCTTCGGAGAAGAGGAGTCGCTCGAGCTCCCGTCCTTGCTGCCAAGACGTGTCGATGGTACCTTGCTCGCTGGTCCTATCCCTGCAGACTCTATCTCCTCGGTCTTGGAGCTGACCCCGTACATCCTTGCAACGAAGGAGCTCTCGACGGTAGCATAGCCGGGCTTGAGGGACCTCTGTGAGAAGATATCGGCGGCGAGTGCGGGGGTGAGAGCTTTCTTGCGGATGTTTGTATTGGTACTTGTTGCCGATGCTGTTGAAGAGTTTGCGAGCCTCTGTGCATTGTTGACGATGATGACTTGCATGCTGTAATCGAATCAACCTCCACCTCACTGGCCAGAATCTATTTAACCCAAGACCCACCAAAGACTAACTCTCAGTACACCTGAGATCCTTACACCAACCTTATTCACCTCAACGATACACAGCTGTGCAGTCTCTAACACTTTCACTGATGATGATAGAAATCTCAGAAGAACCACACAACACTTCCTTTATTCACAGCAGTCCCCTTCCCTTCAGTCCCTTGCAACCCAGCTGGCTCTAGAAGTGTTACTGATATCCATGTGATGTCTTTCTCACAAGCTGACGCCTTCTTCTAGCTATCGTCTCATGAAACTCGCGGCTGCGGCGAGGGTTTCTGCATCGTTCCGTGCAGGAGATCGCAATCTCGATCTCCCCGACAATCTCAACCCCTGCAACAATATTCCGACTGCCTTGCTATGAATCAAGAGGGCCAGCCTAGGATAGCAACTAATATCATGTTGCTGCCCCGATAATCCGGCCGCCGTACCCGGTGTGACGGTACGGTCGCGCGATCAGGGTACCAGCATTTTAGCTTTGAAAGGCTTAACTCAAAGTTAAGTTAAAATCAGTACGTGGACCGTACAATCATGAGAGGCTACTACGGAGATTTTAAACTTAACTTCAAGTTGAGGCCCCCCCGCATCGCCGGCCGGGGGTAACCCGGCGGCGGGCGGCCCGGCCCAGTGACCCGGTACCGTCTCAGTCTCACTGGCTAGACGCTCACCCGGGCGACAAGGCGGCCCGGCTACTACTAAGAAGACACCGTCACGGATGGAACGTGAATGATCGGGAGAACAAGGGGGCCGCGATCACTGGCACGCGGCCGGTCCCGGCGCCGTAGCCGCCGGGCTAGTACCGCCCCCGGGCCCCGGGAGCCTCGGAACCTCCGCCAACCGGGCGCAAATGGTCACCGTGGACACGCCAGCCGACTCGGACCCGCCGGTCCGGCGTACAACTTTACTGTATTACCGTAGTTTTACTCAAAGTTAAGTTAAAACAGTAGTACTTAACTTTGAGTAAAAGACTCACCAGGTTTGCAGGACTAGCCTGAAAAGGGGAGAATGGCGGCGGAGATCGGTGAGGAGGGTAGGAGTGGAATGGTGCTGATGATGGGGCAGGAGGAGCAGCTCTCGCCGCCGTCCTCGTCTCCTCCTCTGTCTACTACCACACTTGTTCGCTTGTCTACCGGCAACCTCTTCGTCCCGACCAGGTCTTGCTGAGCACGGCGACTTAGCCTGAAGCTTTCGCACAGAAAGTTGATTTCAAGAATGAAAGCTTGTTCATGGGGAAATATGAGCACCCTCACATTGGTAGAAGAGAGACGCATCTGTAAAGTTTGCTGATTCAGAGCAGGGTATCGTCCAGATCTTGCGCCAAAGATGGAGAGGACGGGTTGGCAAGAAAGGAAGCTCGTTCCGACAGATGATGGAAAGGATGTTCTTCAAGAGTTTATCAGTCATCCAGTACACAAGTTCCTTCGTACCTCCACCGTGCCCTCATGCTTCATGTGGCAGAAAACAGCATCCTCGAACGAGGGAACGTCAACGAAGGGCATCTGCATTCTTCTCCCAGGTCGTGAACGAGGGATGGTAGGGAGGGATGGAGGGCATTGACGAGGACGAGCAGGTCTCGGAGATACTATCGAGAGGTGCGCCAACCTCGCAGACTTCCTGGCAGGGAGAGGCTACGCTGTGCATGGCGTCGGTAAGTCCCTTCACCTCAAGGGGCAGCGTTCAACGCCTTGCAGACTATCCCGGGTGGGGCTACAGCCAAAGGGAGAGCGGATCTGGGAGCAAGTTCGTTCCGTGAGTGATGGTGGAGATGCTGAGCATGAGGTTGAGAGAGTTGCAGATGTTTGACGAGAGATTGGAACAAGGAGGTTTGTGAGCCGGTCTTGGACTACGTGAAACGGGTCAAGTCGCGATACCCAACGGATTCACCTTGTTTCGTCATCGCTCCGTCTCTGGGTGGGGGAACAGCGCTGAGGCTCTGTAAGACGATCGGATCAAGATGTTGATGATTGTGTGAGATATTCTTGGAGGTATCATGGAGCCGGAACTGTTCAAAGGTGCAGTTCTGCTCTGTCCAGCTTTACAGTTTGACGGGCACATGATTCTTCAATACTTGTCTTGGGTGAGAGGAGGAGGAGGATGAGTAGAGAGATGGTGTATCTGGATCTGAACATCTCTTTCCTGGTGCTGTTGCAGGTGATCTCGTCCCTCTTCCCTCGCCTTGGAGTTCCTTCGGTCGGAGAGGACGATGTGGGGTCAAGGAATCTGTTCATTGCGGAAACCATTGTATGTTGAACATTGTTTCGCTCACTGAAGATGCGAAAATCTCGTTTTGTTCTAATCTCACGAGCAGGTGAATGACAAAACCAAGAGCAACACGGCAATCCCTGCATTGACAGGATACTCCTTGCTACAGGTGACGGGGAGGGAGCCAAGGCAACACTCAGAGACGTGACGACTTTTGCAGCACTTCAAGTTTTGTCAAGCCAACATGCATAGAATGAAGGTATCCTGCGATACATCGCTGTTGCTGCTCATAACGCATGTCGACATCAAGGTTCCCTTCTTGACGTTGCACGGGAAGAAAGACATGATCATAAAGCCCTCGTGCTCCGAGGAGTTGCTGCAGAAGGTTTGCCCTAAAGAGTCACTGTTCCCCTCGTCACCCCCTGTTGGCTGCTGACTCCCGTTGAAGGCGGAAGTGGAGGACAAGCAGGGCAAGTGGTACGAGGAGGCATGGCATGACCTCTTGTTTGAGCCGGGTGAGCCCGGCACCTTCCGATGCAGCACCCTCCGATTGACTTGGCGTGCAGAGCACGAGCAGGTGATGGAGGACATCGCCAAGTGGATTGACGATCATGCCTGACATCCGAAGCGACGAGGCGGCTGGGCAGCATCGGCCCTGGCGGTGGCTGACGAGGAGCCAGAGCATCTTGACGCGTTGACATTGACATAGACCTTGATATGACCTGTCGACCTCTGTCGACCTCACCCTTCCAGCTTGAGATATTCCCCGACGTCTCGTCCTACACACCTTGACGCACGTCACCTCGACACCACTCTCTGCATCCTCCTCCCTCCTCCTCTGCTCCTCCGCGGTCGACGGCTTACCTGCAGTTGTCGTTGTCGCATGACATGCATCCCATGATCGAGTCCAAGAAGCTCTTGCTCGTCGAGCATGCCCATGTGCACTTGCCACTTGCACAGGAGGCGTCAAAGTGCGCTGGTCCTCTTCCCTGCTCCTTCCATCAGCCCAGCGAAGAGAGAGGCAAGAGGCTCACCGTCCCGTCGTTTCCACAGGGTTCATGGTCTTGCTTACATAGGATCGTCTGTCCTGTAGGGAGCTTGCAGAGTTTGCCTTGCTCCTGACTGGATTCTGTTGCCTTGACCTGCAGTAATGTTTCAGCCATCAGTACACAGACAAACGTGACCGACGTCAACCGATATAGACGGCTTGAGAGCTTTCTCTTCCTTCGGAGAGGCTGAGGGCTAGGGAGCAAGAATGTAATCAGAATCGCCCTGTCCTCCACTCCCTCAGGATCCACCTGGTCGGGAAGCCCTGCCTTCTTCTGCGCGATCGCTCTCAAGGCCTTTGCTCGTGCTGCAAGCCTAGGGCTGTCCTCCGAGCGAGCCAACTTGCCCCCTTGGACTGCGAGAGCATCTGAATTCCTTCCTCTTTTGAGCTGGAGAGCTCTTGCTGAGGCTGGGGATGGAGCGAGTGTTGCAGCAGGGGACTGAGACTCTTCTTGGGGGAGGAAACCGACATCGTTTCCATCGCTTGAAGTCAGGCTGTCTTCCCCGAGCTGCCTCAACAGCAGGCAGCTCTCTTGTCGGTAGCTCCAAGCTTTGCACTCCTTTGCATCCAAGCAGAGCTTGCAACATTCCTCTTGGCTCACGAGAAACGCGCGGCTGCTGCCCGTGATTGGGACTGCATCATTGGGTAAAGGAGCGACATCTTTCTGGACCTGTCAGCGAATCAGACAGACCATCGCAGAGAAAGGTGTGAAAGTGACGTGGAGAAAGAGAAGACGAAGTACAGCGACAGATAGAGTTGGAATGAGAAACGCGAACATAGCTACAGGGGTTTGCAGCAACAGGAAGGAGAAAACGCAACACGAATACAAAAATGGTGACGGGGCAGACAGCAACGAAGAAATAAAAGAAGAGATCAAATTGGTGATCCACCGAGAACGAGGAGCATGCTCCGATCTGAACGGAATCGTTCATCGTGACGTGGCTGGGAATAGCGAACGGCTTCGACTTCGGTCCGAGATCGAGCTGCGACCTGTTGCAGATGTTGTCAGTTGTCAGACTCCATCCCTCTCGCTGCCTACCGGGGCCAGTCTTCCCCGAGAACGTAGGGATCTGATTTCAGGTATCGCTGTGACAGGTAGCATGTGAGCCAACCTTGAAATGCACATGAAGGATTTGACCTGGAACATCCTCCCAGCAAAGATCCCTGATTTCCCCAGCGCAAACTTGCGCTCCTCAGCATCGGGACCGAGCCTCAAGTACTGCAAGAAGATGTCAAAACCTGGGACAACCTTGCAGGAGGAAAGAGACGTTGAAGGCGTCTTGCACACTTTTCCCATGCGCCCTCATACACCTTGACACTCCCTCTAGGGACGTGTTTGCGTCCGAACACGCTTCAAACAACGCCTGAGCCTCGGTCAACTCTCAAAAAAATCACTTTCTCAGTCGCAAAGCTTTACGTAATGCAGATGTCGATTCATCTGATACCCATCCTGACGAGCAGGGCTCCCTCGTGGAATGTTTGCAAGCCATCCTGGACCCGCCGTGCTGATCCGAGCATGTGGAACAGCGCGCAGATGTTGTCTCCCCAGCCAGCCAGCCACTGGTCCGGGACGAGGGCCCGAGAGTTCAGATTGTGGAGTTCCGAATCCGCACGGGGGCTCGACGCAGGTTTCAGCATTCCATTTCCCTTTCACGATTCCTCCTCCCGTGGATGTTGTCTTCGAAGGGTCGGGGAGCGTTCCCTGGCCATCATCCTCTTAGCGCACTCAATGGATGGTAGGAGGACGAACCGGCAGGTTGTAGGCGCTAGGCTTCGAAGGGCCCCAAAGGGAGTTCGAGTCAGAGTTGATTGGGTTACTGTCGATGTATTGTGGATCCTGGATATCAAACCCGTCGGTCAAGGTAGAAGAACAAGAGGAGGAGCTTACCTGCGTTGGTATGCTCACGGCACTTCTAGCGATGTGTCTGAATGCTGCTCCCTGTAAGACGTTTCAGAGCTCGATAAAACTGGTGAGCAGCTTTGAACCAGGTATGACGTGGAAGGATTTTGAACCATCTCCTCAAATCTTGCAACGCCGCCGCCTCCATGCTGGGCAGAAGCCAGACTCGGAGAGAGAAACGTTTCTATCCTTCCAACTTTCCAGCACAGCACACACAGCAATGGAATCAAAGCGCAAGCTGTGAAGTACCTTCGTGCGTTGCGCACATGGATTCCTTTGTCCCTCATCAAGATGAAAGGAGCCGGCTCTGCCTGAACATGCTCTAGTGCTTCGTCGAACATGGCTACTGATCACGTCGGGATCGGATGAAGCCTCAGTGTAGGAGTGGAACTAGCCGAGTCTCATCTCATCTCATCTCATCTCATCTCATCTCATCTCATCTCATCTCGTGGTGTGTCTTGTCTTGTCTTGTCTTGTCTTGTCTTGTCTTGTCTTGTCTTGTCTTGTCTTGTCTTGTCTTGTCTTGTCTTGTCTTGTCTTGTCTTGTCTTGTCACTTGTCTCACTTCACATCATCTCGTCTCTACTCTCCTCATCTCATTCGTTTCGGCATGAAAGGAATTTCCAGCCATGAAACCGCAGAAATAGATCGGTCAATTCTCACCCCTACCCCATTCTTTTCAAGGTAAATGAGAGGGTATGACATTTACAGGAGTACCGGTTTCAAAGACAGATAATTCCGGGGTGGGGTAGATAAGTAATGCGGCCGGTGGGCCTGTAGTAGGAAAGTGGAATGGAGGAGGAGGAGGAGGAGGCGGCGGCGGAAGAGGAAGAGGAGGAGGAGGACGAGGAGGATTATGAGTAGAAGGGAGGAGGAGGAGGAAGGAGGGAGGAGGAGGAGGAGGATTATGAGTGAAAGAAGGAGAAGAAGGGAAGAGGAGAAGGGAAGATTATGAGTAGAAGGAGGAGGAGGAGGAGAAGGGAGGAGGAGAAGGGAGGAGGAGAAGGGAGGAGGAGACCAGGAGTATGATGTAAGAGCTGAATATAGATCGAACTGTTTGAGTCTACCACGGAGGAAGAAGAGGGGGGATAAGAATTCGACTTGGCTGCCTGTCTAACCAAGGAAGCGTAAGGCATCATTGAGCCAAAGGAGGCGAAAAAAGAGATAGACTTCCAGACATATCAATGCAGTGATGTTTGAAGGGAGTCAAGGGAGGGTTTGAAAGAGCTCTTTCTTGTGCTGGATGACATACACGGGATATTTGTATTGCAATCAGACCGCGTGGAAGGTTTGTAACTGCTATGCACTACCAGGAATCTTCTGCTACATGATCAGATGCACGACCAAGACGAGATACAATGATACACTGCTCTTCAAGATGATCAACGAAACCTAGCTCGAGAATGAAAATGCTCTGATTTCTGCGCGAAACTCCGATATGACGGGCAAAGCCCAGGCTTAGCTGACTTGGAGCAGAACGGAGCCTAGGTACAACAAACCTACGCTTCACTTCATCCTTACCTTTCTCTATGCTCTATGATGTTGAACACATATTACTCCTCTCGGCTGCATAGATGATAAGAACGGCGACCGCAATTCTTCTTCTATGTATCATCCAAGGCACCATCCCGGAAGAGAGGCAGCTGTTTTCCTGCCGACAAATTCACCAAGGTACCAACAGGATTGTGTTGGACGCAGCATTACAATCGATGTCTCACCTGCGAGATTGCCGCTCTCAGTCTGTATGGAGGTTGTGCTTGCGCGGTGGATCATGTGAAGTATCAGCTTGCATGACATCGGATATAAAGAGCGCTGGCAATTCTTCAGATGGGCAGCGGAGGGATAGCTGCGAGAGGAGCAGCCTGCAGGACAAAGACGCTGAGTCCCTTGTGGCCTATGAGAAGATGCTGTCATATGCCGGCTGCAGTGTAAACTCTAGGATACGCGTTCTTCAGAAAGCGCTCAGATGCTCTCCCAAGAATCTCCGCGCCCTTGACAGCCTTGCTTCTCTCCACGAGGTACGTCAGGGCCTTGCGGTGGTGGATAGGAAGGCTGACCCATGATCGCAGTCCTTGGGGTTGTACGAGTTAGCAGCGAATGAATGGTTTCAGATCCTTGAGATTAGGAGGAAGAGGAATGTCTCCTGCTGTGATAGCCCTTGTTCCCTCGCGCACTCTGTTGCAGCATCCCTTTCAGAGTTGAAGTTTGACAGCTTTCCTCCGTCGTTGCACATGTATCGATCGAAGGCTCTTGTGAACCTGGGGAAAATAGTGATGTTGACTTCAACGCCGACGTGCAATCTCTCTTGTGAGTATCAAGTTTGAAGGAACAGTAATGTGATATCTCAATGTTGTTGAACGATTGCTGTGATGCATCCCTTTGGACAGACGAGTGACATGACTTGATTGTTCGATAGATGTATCCATGACTGCCTTTGAGACGGCTCTAGAGTTTGACCCGAACTCGGTCGAAGCTTACAAAGAGTAGAGTGTTACACATTCGAATCTGAAAGTCTGTTGAAAGGCACCTTTGACAGGCTTTTGAAGATCGCGGCATCGGACAAGCACACTGACTGGACTCAAGCATGGTGGTAGGTTCAGATGAAACGCGTGAGTTCACCTTTGACGTTGGTTCGAGGTGGTCATCGCTCGAAGGAAACGTTGGGGTCACACAGGTAAGACTCAGAAAACATCAAAGTTTCAACTCTTATCCGTCCCAGGCGATCCAAGACCTCGACAGACTCTTCCAGCATCAGCTGCAAGAGCAGAAATTCTTGTCCGACCTGCAACGGTCGTCATTGTGAACTTTTCGTTCGTTCATAGGCCTCACTCGGTGGAAGCAGAGAGATTCAAGTGACGTGGAGGTCGAGGAAGCCTCTGATCAACGCAACCTGCCTCCTCTCTCATCAAAAGAAATTGAAAAGGCTCGCAGAGATGAGATTCGCTGTACGATGGACCTTGAATGATGCCGATGCTGACGATCTCCCATCAGTCGACTGCCCGTGAATATCGGAAGAGGCAGGCCATTCTTGCTAGTTTACACTCTGACATCGGAGAAGTGATGTACACACATGGGTACTTGTGACTTCTTGCATGCAACAGATGATGAGATTAAAACAGGCCCGATCGCTCGTTTGCCGTAGAGAAGCATCAGACAGCGCTGGCTATTCATCCTCATTGTATTCCAGCTTCAATCAGGTCAGACTTGCTAGCTTTGCCGTAGCCCCAACCATTTACTGCTGCTGCTGCTGTTGACCTTTTGTCCATGCTCACCTGAATTCATTCGATTGTTTTGTTTTGACGTGTCGATAACATTGTTGCTGTTTTGCTATTGACGGAGTTGGCAGGTTGGGACAGTTGCTGCTGTCGTCCATCAAGGACGGAAATCAGCACGAGAACTCTCCGTCAGATTTCTTCAAAGACTCGTCGAGCAAAGTGATGAAGGCCTATGCTGCTTCTAAAGCTGTGATCGCACGAATGTGAGATGTAACGCGAGATGAGAAACTTGATGACGCTGTCGAATAGTTCCAACGCGATGAAAATGTCACATGGTCACCTCAGCAGTGTCACGAGTAAGTGGTGGGGGAACGTGGACGGGTCAAGCATGTATGCTGCCTTGCTCGACATGCTTTCGTCACTTGCCGCCTCCAAGAAGATGAGATTAGCGGAAAACCTCTTAAGAGACTGTTCTTCTGCTTGGCCGAACAATACGCAAGTTGCGTTCTTGTTTGGGTTTTGTGAGATGAGGTGAAGCAAGTGAGAATGAGCGGAGATGAGTGACTTGTGCTAGGCTGGGGAAACTCAAAGAGGCCGAGACGATCTTCCAGCGCTGCCTCCGCGTGGAGCCGAACAACTCACAGGCTCTTGCAGGTTGACATGATCAAGAATGATGCCAGAAAACATTAAGACGATAACGATGATGATGACGATGATGATGATGATGATGATGATGCTGATGATGATGAGCTGATAATGATATTGATACTTTCAATGACGAAGATGACAAAGATATTTATGGTAGTGGTGACGATGTCAATCAGGTCTAACGGAAGTCCGTCTACATCAAGGGCTTGAGGGGAACGCAGAAGTGGGGGAGATGATCTTGAGAGTATGTTGGAGTTGCTTCTTGCCATGCAACTCAACTAAAGAGCTGGCAGGCCGTCAGTTTGTCTCCCCAGGAGCCTTTCGTGCTGCATGCTAGCGCTTTCTTCTCGTGGAAGAGTGGAAGATTGTCTCAGGTAACACCACCACTCGCCGTCAAACTCCACGTGACGTCGGGCAGGCGGGAGAAATGCTGGAAAGAATCGACGGCCAAATGATCAGAATCTTCGACGATCCATGGGTAGAGGAGGTCAGTTCTGTGTTTCTCAAATGTACTCCTCCCACACTGTTCACTCAGCACTCTTCTGCTCGTTCTCTGTCGTTACTCCTTCTCCTCTCTTCTCCTCTCCTCTCAATTTCTCTGTCGCCCCCCTTCATTGTTGGTTGTCCTCCTTCTGCTCTCTCATCTCATCTCATCTCATCTCATCTCTTCTCTTCTCTGTTGACGAGTGTGCGGCAGGCAAGGTTGCATGCCACAGCCGCAAAGCTCAGTTCGAGGCATCCAGTGAGGAGGAGGAGGGAGGAAGACGACAAGACCTTGTCTGCGTGCTTCAACCGACACGACTCTGTCGAGCTTGTGGGCACCTTCAAGGGTGAAGACGAGGTAGAGGCCGCGGGCGCCCTGTCGGCGTCTGACCTGTCCTTCAGCGCTCTCCTGCGAAGAGGAGGAAGCTCCTTTCTGAACAGCAGGAGGACGCAGGGGCCGCAGCACCCGACGAGATCGTGAGGAGGGTGCCGATGGACCTTAGCTTCCTCCGCTCCAGCCGCCTCATGCAGACAGCCGAGTCCTTCCTTGAAGCCGCCAAGATGCACCAGAAGTTCATCGAGGAGCACATGGCCAACAATCGCACGGCCACCATGTAACTCCCTCTCCTCCTTGCCCCCCGTTTCCACATTCTCGTCCTCGTCCTCGTCCTCGTCCTCGTCCTCGTCCTCCTCGTCTCCGACCCCCGTCCCCGCATTCTCCTTTGTTCCCCACTTCCTCCTGCCTCTCCTGCCTCTGCTGCTTCCCCCCCTTCCCTACCCCACAATTCCTTCTCAACACCCGAATCCCAAGCCTGGCAGGACACCCTCTATACTGACACTCTTGTCAACCTTCCCTGTCCCCTTATCTCCTCCCTCCCTCTCTTTTCTCTTCTCTCCTGCCTCCTTCTCCTCTCCCTCCCTCCCCTCGCGCCTCATGCTAGTACCGGCAGGAACGCTCTCAACTTGGAGCAAGTTGATTCGGATGACCCTTACTTCGAGTTCGACATGCAGACATTGCCGGCAGACCATCCTAGACTGCTGCAGGTCTCCTCCTCCTCTCCTCCCTCCTCTCCTCCCTCCTCTCCTCCCTCCTCTCCCTCTCCCTCTCCCTCTCGCTCACCTTA